TTCTTTCATTCTCAAGGTATACAATTTTCTTTTCAATAAAATTCGGTTTGTGAAAGATTTTGTTTGATACAAACTTTCCAATTTTTTCCACAAATCTTTTGTCATCTTTTTACCAACAATATTAAACAAAATTTCATCTGCTAAACACAAGTGGATAGTGGCTCGTGCCTTCATATCTAGTTCATCCCAATCATCATCGGTCATATTCATTGGTGTCTTATCTTTTCTAAGAAATGCCTTGTGTTGCCCTTGATGTATCAATAAATCTTGCATTTTTAAAATTTTCAAATTTCAAAATTATCCTTCCCATTAAACTTCTCCACCTTAAACTTGTGAGATGCCATTTTTCCCAAAAATACCACACTAATTCCTTGAGCTCTGATACCACTTGTTAAGAAATAGAGAAAACCCAATCACCCGTTTTTGAGCAAATCGAGATATCTCAAATTCCACTAGATGTGGTGAGCACTCCACCACAATGATTTCAACACTTAAATAACATGCCCAATATGCAATAACAAGTGCAATATAATTGAAAAAAATGTAAGATCAATAAAACAAGCCCTATGGGAAATGATCAAAGCACAACACAAATGAAAGTAGAGAGGGACATGCACATATACGTCGTTTACGTAAAATAGGCTACGTCCACGGGCAAGATGGCAAAGGTGTATTCACTATCAAGAGGAAAAATTACAAGGTTGGGGTTTATACAATTACCTCATACAAAGAATGCTCAAACAAATAACTTCCTACCATAAAACTACCTACAATGGACTCCTTTCTTCGACTGACCGATGTCGCGAAGAAATGCCCAAAAAATGGCTCAAAATGAGCCCCAAATGGTGGTGCTAGGGTTTTGTTACAAAACCCTCAATTTCCAGCCCCAAGATTCACTCACTACAAGGTTCCTTCCTTCCTCACTCACCCATGTTTTACTCTCTCTCTCTTTACAACCTTTTTTAAAGGTCTTTACCAAAAGGCATTTATTATTGACTAAAATGCCATTTATCAGCAGGTGAATACCATAGGGGTTGATTTAGCATCACACCCCAACAGATTTAACATGTCCAACAATAGGCAGCCAAATGGCTCGGACTCGGGTCTTACTTAGACTACTCAATTGGGTTTGGGTCGAGGTCAAATTGGGCCCGGTTCATAGTTCTAAGGCAACTAAGTTCAAATGGAAGACCATCCAAATGGATCGTTTTTCATTTTTTATTTCTGTATGTGATGGAAGAGGGACTGGAAGCCCCCTCCCCCTCTCTCGACAAGGCTGAGATTCATGTCCAACTATAGAATATTTATGGCATAGTATCAAGATTGGGCAGTTCAGTCCGGACAGTCATACTGCTAAAAAGACTTTTGGCCTTCCCGACTAAAGCAAAAACCTAATTTTGGTAAAAAACCCAATCAAAACCAGTACTAAGCCGGTTTTGAAAGTGTTGACTGATCAGGATGATTAGAAAAAGCCAGGCATTTTCTTTTTAAACTATTGTTCCTATTCTCCCTTTATTGTTTAAAATTCATATCCAAGCGGATTCAACTACCAGACTCCACACAGGTTCAGTGACGGTCCACTCCATGTAAAACTGATTTACGGTGTCATTTTTAAGCCATTTCATGGAGCTCCCCATAGAAAAGGTAAATTTTTGGATTACAAATTGGCCCCCGATTTTTCCTTATATAGAGCTTGCTCTCTAAAATCAAATACTCTTTAGCCATTGTCTTGGGTGAATGGAGATACACATTCAGTATGTAATTTGGGAGGGATCAAATCCAATATCCAAACAAGTATTGTGCATGCAAGGGACGCATCTATCCCATGGCCTATCACTCAAAAGTCATGCCCAAGCATCAAGTCAGAAACTCAGACGATCCATTTCATTATAGAATAAATTTCATTGAACAATAAATAGATCTAGAGAGTCCCTGATCTGAAGTACAAAAAAAAAGAGAGCCTCTCATCTTAAGTACCAAGATCCCATAATATTTTGTCACTAGGTAAGGTCAAGCTTAATTATGAAGGCTATTACGGCGATCAATTTCAAAACTATCATCAAAATAAACTATGTTGGGAGTATGTGGCGATCAATTTCAAAACTATCATCAAAATAAACTATGTTCGGAGTATGTGGCGATTTGAATGCTGAGCTTCAAATTTTACTCCTAAACCTCATAGGGTCCTGATACAAGGAGAAAATAATAAATAAATAAATAAAGATTAAAATAAATAGCAAAAAGAATATACCCTTACTAAAGATTTGTAAATGAGTCCACCCTAAAAATCTCTTCACAAAACCCAAAAACAATTTCTTTCTTCAATTCACCCTCCCTGATTTTAAATAAGGACATCCTTCCCTTTAAACACAACTAAAAGAATTAATAAAAAAATAAGATAAAGGAAAAACCAACGAAACCTCATGTACCTACATTTTTTCTTTCTCTATATCGTCCACATTTGTATCTCTTTAACGTCATGTAAATTTGTCTACATCCTTAGCTTACCTATTTTATCTCTCTACAATTTCCTAACCACTTCATCTTTTAATATTCTACAAAAAAAACCCACTTCATCTTTTAATACAGAATACACTTTTCAAGAAATCTAAAAAATAACAAAAAAAAATCATTGTACCTTTCTCATTAGATTGGGAGAAACATGACCTCGAGCTTGAAGATCTAAACTCCTCTAATAATCTTTCCAATAGTTGGTGATGCAATCCAACCATTCGTTGGGTATTTTTTCTTCAATAAAACAATTGATCAAACACCATTCGTTGGGTATTTTTTCTTCAATAAAACAATTGATCAAACACTTACATACCCAACTTGTAACATAACCTCTAAAATATCCAACTTGATGTTAATTTCTCCTTCGATTTCTAAGGATGGTATTTCAAACATCGCAACTATTGTATCTTTTTCTTCATAATTGTCTACATCTTTTGCACTGGGATTTACCTCTTTGTGTTCTTCATCTTCCTGTTACAATCAACTAAATAGATCTTTTATATCATGTCTTCTATGATTCTCTCAAATTTTTCATCTAATAGCTCAAATATTTAATCTACATACTCCATAATGGGATCTGTAGATATTTATAAAAGCATCATGTTTTATGGATCTCAGGCTCCGATACTAGATAATAATAATACATAAAAATCAATAGTTGAAAATATACCCTCTCTCAAGATATGCAAGGGTCTCTACCCCGACCCATAAATAATTTATTTACTCAATTCAACCTAGTTTCAAAGAGAGATATCCTTCCCCTTTAAATACAACTAAAAGAATTAATTAAAAAAGTAAGATAGAAACAAAAGCTAACAAAACCTCATCTCCCCATGTTTTTTCTCCATCTCTATATCTTCAACATTTTCTATCTTTAACCTCATGTAGATCTCACTCTATATCCTTATCTTACCTATTTTTCTCTCTCTAGTTTTCTAATCACTTCATCATTCAACATAAAATAAACTTTTCAATACTACCACTAAAAATCTATACAACCGACAAAAGACAAAAATATCCCTAATCCTAAAAATTTTTAAAAACTAGCAAAAACAAATAAATAACAGTCATTGCATCAAGTCCTTTGCTTGTGTAGATTGACATGGTAAATGTGATCAGTTGAGCAAATTGTGAGTTGCAATACCTGTGGAGACTTCCATCTATATCCATTAAAACAAATGAGCCCAAAGTCTTTAAATCTCTTTCTGGAATGTCCTATGTAAAACCTGTAAGTGAGTTGGTTATCTGTCAAGGACTAGAGCCATAATCCAAGTCTCAGGGTTGGAGACTTTGTTTTATTAGGCAACATTAAGCCCACTTTGTCGTTTCTCTTTCTTGCAGAGTTGTGGATTTTGTCCTCACTTGATATACACTAGAGCAACTTAAGAATAAAAACAGTTATTACAATCAAGAAATGATCAGATTAATGAACGAGTTAAGGTTCAGAATCCAATACCAAAAAAAAGAGTAATACCAAAAAAAATAGTAATGCACATGCACAAGTGGGAGGAGAGAACTAAGCTATCAGACAACAATAAACAATTGTATAACATTCTTTTAAAGATTATTATGTGAACTTCCTCTTGTCATGCAAAAGCATGAAAGTTTAGAGAGAAGGAAAAAACAATGAATTTTGTCAATTTTCAAGAGAACTGAATGTAGGTTTGACCACAAATTTTTCCATTTGGATTTTAGTATGTTCTCAAAGTTCTCAACTGGCTCAGAATATACCCTGATAAAATTCACATCACCCTGCCACCAGCTGAAATGGATCCAGAGCAGCTGTAAGTCCGGCCTTTTTGTCATCATTGCCAGTGAGCCAATGGTTGAACAATTGCAGGGACATGGAATGACAAGCTTAGGAAAAATATCCAAGAGAACAACAAGAAATTATATCTACTACATAGAACCAGGCCATACGAATCCACAGGTAATGCCTCCAGAAAGGCAGGAACATCAAACCTTTGAATAACTCCCTCCATCTCAAACAGTGGCAAACTCAGCAAACTGAGTCAGATAGAATGTCTTGAAACCTCAGGTAATGCGGAATGCACATTATATTAATAAAAAAAAAGTAAGGAACTCATTAAAAGAATTCTATTTTTCTGATTGAGACCTAGTCCAGGCATAGTTGACTATTTTCACAAACTTCAGCCGAGATGCTCAACCCTTCTCTACGTTAAAATATTGAAGATCATGGACCTCTCACATCTTAGGTCTTAAATCAGTTCTTAGTTCAACAAAACTGGGAAAAGGTTCCAATCATTTGTGACCTTCCTTTTTCTTGACAAAGTACTACTTCAACATACAAATTTTAATTGTGATTAAAGACAATGAGCCATTGAGTAAATTACTTATAAAACTGAAAATTCGAATAAACAATTTGACCATGACTGAGATTACTAACCACAAGCCCCAAGACATTCCAAATGATCGGTACAAGCAATAATTAGTTATGGTGCCTTGCAGATGGAGAGAATTCATTGAAAGAATACACCGCATCAAGAGTTCTTTATTTACCTTTTTTAATAAATACTACCCATTTACATTATATCCATGGTGATGAATTCCTTCATTCCCTTTACAAGCTATTCACAAGTGAACTACCAAAACACATAAAGTTTCATAAACAACTCATTTTAATTAATAAACAAATGAAAACAAATAACTAAATGTTAGCTAGGCCATCAAATACCTCATTCACAATAAGCAAAGTGTTGTCTTTGTTAGCTAGCTCTGCAAGCGCTCGGAGAGTACGAGAATCAGGAACCAATCCATCCCTGATCATTTCATCATAGTAATAAAGAGCCTTTTCTATGTTCCCACTTTCACAATGCCCAATAATCAATGTATTATAGATACTCTTTGTTGGAGATAATAATTTATCTCTGTAAACTTTTAAAAACTTCTCCGCTTCCTTCACCTTTCCCCACCTACATAGACCCCCAATCAACAAGCTATAAGCCATGTGACCAGGTGAAGGGCCTTTAAATTCCATCTCATAATACAGTTTAAGGGCTTCTTGGATAGTACGACCCTCTCTGTTGTATCCATCAATAAGAAGACAGTAAGTTATTTCATCAGGCGAAAAACCCATGTCTAGAAGATCAGTTAATAGGCCATTAGCCTTATCTACCTTACCCAATTTGCAGAGCTCGAAAACAAGCTCATTGAAAGTACATACACTGGGTAAATACTTCATTCTTATCATTTCTTCATAAAAATTTAAACTCTCCTCTAATTTCCCAAGCTTACATAATCCCTCAATTAAAAAATTGTAAGTCATGTCATATGGTTTCAAACCTTCTGAAACCATTTCCTTCATTAATCGGTTTACTTCTTCAAACTTACCTTCCTTACAATATAAACCAATAAATGAAGTGCAGGTAAATGAGTTTGAAGGGAACCCTTTCTTAAGGAAGTCCTCATGCATCTCATTTGCCCTAACCAAGTCTCCTTTCTCACAAAACCCATTTATTATCAATGAATAAGCAACTTTATCAAGGATCATATTCTTTTGAACCATTCTCCTTAAAAAGACAATACCTTGATCCCATTTTTTCTCTCGAAACATATTATCAATCAGAGCTACATTAACTATCACACCAGAATCACATCTCTCTCTTTGAATCATGTTCACAAGGTCCAAGAATTTCTGCAATTTTCCTTCCTTACATAACTCATTAGTCAATGTTCTAACAGTAATCACATTGGGGTAAGTTCTTCTCATAAGCATATCTTCATAAATTCTCCAAACTATTGTGCTTTGATTCGATTTTTGCACAAAATTTAACAGAATGTTCCAAGTTACAATACTGGGAGAAAACCCATACTTCTCCAATAAAGAATAAGAACTTATAGCTTCATCAAACATTCGCAATCTTGCATATGTTTGAACAAGAAAATCAAAAACTCGAAAGCTCGATCCAGTGATGTAATAAGTGCCTAGAAGAGATTCAGATAGCTTGGGAAAGCCAAAATCCTCAATGCAATGCTTTTTCACGGCAGATTCCAAAAGGGCTTGAGCGTGAGTAAATAACTCAGATCGAACAAGAATGTGAACAATGATACAGTATGTGCTGAGGCCATGATCGATCTTTTTACAAAGAGAGGACCAGTGAAAGAAACTCAATGCAAGTTTTGCCTCATTGAGCTCTTTTAAATTGAGCAATACATGTTCGATAATGGCCTCATTCAAATTAATCACTCCAAAACACAAGCTTAAATCGTCCCAATTCCCACCTTTCCTCAGCATATCGCATATCCCTGTTACCGTTTCAGCATCTCTGAAATTTTTCATTTTATCACGAAAAGCATCAGCTTTTGGAGCATCTTTAAGGGCCTCATCTCTCTCCATAGAAACTTTCGATTTTGGGTCATTATTTGATACTCTCCGTCTAGAAAATGAAGAGAAAATGTCTTTTGGGCTACTTTCCTGAGTGAAAATTTGAGCAACACTGCTTCTTATTTCATGGAAGGGCCTAAGGATTAGGACAATATGGGGGTTGAATATGTTACTAAATCTAGCGAGAGGGAATCCATGAAGTGGACTACAAAACCTTTGAATCATGTATCTTGATAAAACCATTTGGGTTAGCAAGCGCATTGTGAATACGCACAAGGGGAAGTATAAGTTGGCTTCATGGGAGAAAAGACGATGGTTTCCTATGAACAGGGTGACAGAAGCTCGTACCTTTTGTGAACAGTTATAGGAACCGTGATCAGTTATAGAAACTGTATAACTGGAACTGTGATCAGTTATAGAAACTGTATAACTGTGAACAGTTACGTGTTCGTATATTCATGTCTAAATTCCCAATGCGAGTAAAGTCTATGGAATAATAGAAACAGTATTCCAACATGGTATCAGAGCCATAGCCTCAACCTCAGATCTGAGGTTGCCGGATATGAGCTCGGCTTCAGATTCACACATTTGAGCTCGCACGTTAGATCTGGCTTCTGCAAATGTAAAGCCTTCTGTATATTGCTTCCAGTCTCTCTCTTCTCTGGCTTCTTCAGGACCAAATCTTTCTCTCTCTCCATTTCACGAATACCATTATCCACTCTCTCCCTCTCTAAAATGGAATTGGAACTGCTGTCTGACTTAAACTGAAACCATTACCCATTTTCTTCTCGCTCTCTCTCCCCTCGTAATATCACCTGCAACATTCCACCCTTTAACATTTCACAAAACCAGTAATACCCATCTCTCTATTCACAAAACCAAGTAATACCCACTTTCTTCTCTCTCTCCCATTCTCTCTCTACTCTGTCAGATCCATCTCTTTCAAAGTCACAGAGCTTTAACATAGTAACATTCAGTATTTTCTCAACCAGATATAAAATTCTGGAGCCTGGTATGTGTTCGTGTCGCAACCAGATATAAAATTCGTGTTCTACCTCTGTGCAATTCACCCCAACCAGATATGAAATTCATGTTCTACCTCTGTGCAATTCACCCCTCGGATGCTCAGGAAAACACTGAAATCTGCCCCGCCTTTGAAATCGACCCTCTAAAACCCGTCTTTGAAACCTCCAAATCAGATCACCGCTTTGCCTCTAAAAACTATCTTTGGAAACCATCAGATCTGAAACACCCCGAACCACTACATCTGAAATTAACCGGCCTCTGAAAGATCCTCCTGAAACCTGATTTGAATCTCTGATTTTCTTCATCCTCATCCGATTCTTAAACCACATCCGGATCTGAAACCACGTCTGCTTTGAAATCCCTAAAATTACCACCTCTACTTTGAAATCCCTAAAATTGCCACCCTGCAAAACTCTGCCATCACTTGGATCTACCCTCTATTTCATCTGCGCCTGAGAGAATCTCTGCCATCTGCATCTCTTCTATTTTTCTTCTCTGTTGCTTCTTTTGTGGGTCGTATCTCTCCGAGTTGCTTCCTAAATCTGACCTTCTCTTCCTGTTTTCTCCTCTACCTATTTTCTTTGTTTCTCTTCGCTTTGCCTTTCTTTTAGCTCCCTCTCTCAACTCCGTCTTTGTTTCTCTCTCTAGATCTCTCTCAGTCTCTCTCTAGCTCTCTCTCTCTCTCTCTTTCCTTGTAGCTCTCCCTATCTATTACGGTCAAAGAAAGAAAGTTGCCTCTTTCTCCTATTCGTTCTCTCTCACTAAAAGTAAAGTGAGATTTGCATTGAAAAATAGTTGGTGGTCCATAGTGCTTTTTGCTGGTCCACTTTGGTCCTTTGGTCGTACAATTCTTAGTGGATTCTCTCTTCCTTATTTTCTTCTCTCCCTTAATTTTGGATATTGTTTTTTTTACTCTTCAAGGACCGTACTATCCTCTCTACCGAGTTGTGTTTCGACTCTCTTATTTATTTTTCAGTCAAGTCGTGTTTCGACTTTCTAATCTGCTTTGGATCTTATTGCTCTCAACTCCGAATCTAAGATCCAACTGTGCTGTTGATCCACTATTAATTTGTGTTGGCTCTTCCAAAAGCCTTCTATTTGATGATCGAATTTCTCGATCCTAAATGCTCTGTTTGTTCTTGAGGCCGTTTGTTCCTGAAATCTACTACAAGCAATCTAAGCATGGAGACCACTACTTCTAATAGTCACACCCTGCACCTGAATATCTAACTGGGTTCTTTTATGTCATTTATTGTTCAAACTCGAGCTGCTTTGTGTCAAATCATCTCGAATTTGAGAAAAAATGTGAACAATTATAAGAACCTGGTCAGTTATAGAAATTGTATAACTGTAAACAGTTACATGTTCGTATGTTCATATCTAAATCCCCATTGTAAGTAAAGTCTATGGAATAATACAAACAGTATTCCAACACCTTTTACTTATAGTTGTTGTTATAGGAGAATAATGGTGATTTAAGAGTTATCTTCTACTTGTTAATGAAGGAGAATAATGGTGGTTTAAGAGTTAATGGACCTGTAAATTGTTAGGCCATCACCCTCTAAGAAGCTTTAATAGTCGCATCATGAACTCAGGAGGCTGTTCTCTCTCTCTCACTCATGAACTCGGGTGCTCATCTCCTATATATTTAGGGCATCTCTCTCTAGCACACACACACTCTCTCTCTCTCTCTCTAAGGGCAGGCACCTCTCTCTTGCCGCTCCTGCCACAGTTCTCAATTAGGGTGAGCTTCTTTCAACAAGTACGTGAAAGTGGATATAGCTTAGCCAAAAGATATTCTTTTCCCTCGGGAGTACACAGTCTATTTACTCCCCTATAATTACTTTTAGAACCTCCAAAATTGGAGGATGTAACTTTTTCAACTCATAGATTAATCTCAGAAAAAAATAAGAAGACAGTTTTAATTGTATTTTCTTTGCACTTGAAAAAATAATGTCTCGAGATTGAATAGAGACCATCCAATTTTTAGAGGGTGGGATCTAAGTAGTAGAAATTCAAATTTTAAAATTTTTATTAAGAAAAAATAATCTAGTAGTCCGTTAGTGTTCCGAAATTTTCAGAATGAAAAAACCTTCCAATTGAGGAGTAGAAGCAAACCGTGCTCCCTAGTAGAAGACTGTGTAAGTTTAATTGAAGTGTATATTGTCTACACAGTTAGTATGGAAGGTATATATATATTGTAATCGATACGTATGAGAATGGTAGGTGCAATATATTGAATTTATGGTAAGTGTGGGTTTAGTCTAGCGTCAGTGATTTATTTATATTCTTATTGTATATTATTTGTCAAAATAAACAAGTTTGTGTATTCATGTATATAATAGACACAAATAGTCTGTTTAGAAAAACATGAGAATCTAACATGGTATCGGAGCCAAAGATCAACTTCACCTTGTGATGTCTTGTTTTTGTATGATTGAGTCCAATGGTTTAAAAACCGGATCGGTGACTCGGATCGGGTTTTTCAAAAACCGATCCGGATCGGCGAATCGGCGATCCGGATCGGCGAATCGGCGATCCGGATCGGAATCGGGTGAATCGGTCAGAATAAAGCTTCAAAAAAATCCGAAAAAATTATTAAAATTTATTATAAATATTGGTTTTTAGGAATTCAATAAAAAATGAGGGTACTCCATTAAGAATTTTCATGTTTTTGAATGAATATACGAATATTG